TGGCTGACTTCCTCCTGGCCAGGAAAATGGCCATCCAGCAGCTGCTCAACCAGCCACACCACGGTCAGTGCCACCGGGATGTGTCCTTGGGAGAGTTGGGGTTACCCTTCCCTTCGCCCCCCTCAAGCCCCCAGAACAAGGGGGGTTATTCCCATGTTTTTCCCATAGATCTCACGGTGGCAGGGACACAGCCATGTCCTGTCATTGCTGGCAGTGCTTTGCCCCAGCAGCAAAAGACCTCCACAGTACACAAAAATTACCAGTTCTCAGGGTCTTAAGCCAAGCCCACCTGTAATGGGGAAGGAGTGGGGCACAAGGCTGAGTCCTTCACCCTCCAGCCTTTCTCTGGAAGGTTTCCCTAACTCAAAAGCCTTGGAACAGGGTGCCACTCACACCTGCTGAAGGGGCTGCCTGGGCTCAGTGTGGTTTCCCTGCAGGGGCAGGTATCAAGGCTCAGGTGTGTTCCCTGATGGAGCTGCTCACCACCACCCTGTACCAGGCTCACGCTCTGTTCTACACCGTGCCTGAGGGGATGTCCCCGGACCCAGCCCTGCCCTGTGGGTTGCTCTTCTCCACCCTGGAGAGCACCACAGGCCAGCACCCTGCAGGTGAGCACTGCCCCCACCCCGGTGTGCAGGCAGGAGGGTGCCCCTGTGCTGGGCTCATCCCTGACCCTGTGCTTCCAGGGAGAGGGGGAGTCCTGGAGGAGGACTTGAAGCTGAGCAGCTGGTTCAAGTACCTGCCGGAGTCTGTGGTGGAATTCCAGCCGGCCCTGCGGACCCTGGCACACCCCATCAGCCAGGAGCACCTCAGGGAGACCCTGCAGCAGTGGATCAGCATGTGAGTGGCACAGGGGCCCCCTTTGCAGGGCTCTCCTGGGCTCTGTGTGACCCCTGGGCAGCACAGAGCAACCCCAGATTCCCTGACCACCTCATCCCTCAGGCTGGAATACTGGGACACAACAGCCCAGTTGGGCTGTACAGACTTGTCTGTACACACTCCCACAACCCCCAGCAAACAAGCACAGAGTAAATGGCAAGAAGTTGCCTTACCTGGCTCATTTGGCCCTTGACCCAGCACCTTCTTTCTCCTCCTTCCTAGGACTGTGTGTGGGAAGCCAGACCCCCTTTATGTAGTTGCCAGCTCCGCCCTATCCCAGCAGGCCCTTTCCTGCCTCCCCTTCACAGCCTTGTCCCATTATTTGATGGAGCCACCTGGTCTCTGTGAGCTGCCTCCCCGTTCCTGGAGCACTGTGCTCCCAGCCCAGCGGTGAAATGTTGCCTTCAGGTGCAGTGATGACATCAGGGCCGGGGTCAGCAGCCTGCTGGTGTACGTGAGGAGCATGAAGGGGCTGGCAGGGATCCGAGATGCCGTGTGGGAGCTGCTCTCCAGCGAGTCGGGCAGCCACAGCTGGGAGGCCGTGTGCCGGCGGCTCCTGGACAGGCCCGTGTCCCTCTGGGAGGACCTGCTGCAGCAGCTCTTCCTGGACAGGCTGCAGGTGGGTGCTGAGCTCTGGGGACCCTTGACCTGTGCCCCCCCCTTGTCCCAGCCAGCCCACACTGGTGCCTGTTAGCAGTGCTCAGGGCGTGTTTAAGTGGCACATTTAAAGGTGCTTTTTCCCCTCCTGGTTCTGTTCCAGACTCTGACCAAAGAAGGGTTCGACTCCATCTCCAGCAGCTCCAAGCAGCTGCTCACTTTAGCCTTGCAGGAACTGGAAGTCAAACCGGGCGGCTCTGCCCTGAGCAAGCAGATCCAGCTGGAGCACAACGTGGCGCTGTTCCTGTGGTCGGAGGGCCCCGGGGACCTGCCGGCGGACGCGGCGTGGGTGAGCGTGGGGCAGCGCGGGCCCTTCGCCCGCAGCGGGCTGGCCATGAAGGCGCAGGCGCTCACGCCGTGCGTGCAGAGCTTCTGCTCGGCCCTGGACTCCAAGCTGAAGGCCAGGCTGGATGACCTCCTGTCCTACCTCCCCGCGGAGCCCTCGGTGCCCAAGGAGCCGGCGGTGCAGCCGCGCTCCGCCTTCGACCGCTTCGCCGACGCCGGCACCGTGCGGGGGCTGCTGCGCGACCAGTGCATCGCCTGCGTCCAGCACGTGCTGGGCTGCGTCAGGGAGGAGCTCCAGAGGGCCCAAGGCCTGCTGGGGGGCCAGCTGGGCCCCCCTGGCGATGCCCGGCTCAACGCCGTCCTGTTCATGGCCAGGCTGTGCCAGTCCCTGCCCGAGCTGTGCCCTCACCTGCAGCGCTGTGTGCTGGGCCAGGAGGGCAGCGCGGACACGGCGCCCAAGGAAACGCGCTCCAACAAGAAGCTGGGGAAGGGGAAGGCCCAGGAAGTGACCCCCGAGCAGGCCAAGTGGCAGGGCCTGAAGGCAGAGCTCCTGCAGCAGAGCCTGTTGGCTTATCAGATCTGGAGCTCGGCTGTCACCAAAGTAAGGAGCTGTGTCCCTCCTCAGAGCTGATTCTGGTGTGGGGTTCCCTCCCTGGGGTTGGCCCTGGCTGCCAAGAGCTCGCCAGGCTGCTGGGAGAGGAGGGGGTGGCAGCTCGGAGGGGACTCCAGTGGGATGGTCTCCATGGGTTGCTTTGGGAGGTGTGGGGGTCGCAGGCAGGGCAGGCTGTCTGTCCTTGGTCCTGTTAGAGCTGTCTGTCCTCTCACTGGGGCTTTTGGGTTTGTGCTCCAGAGTCTGGTTCAGTGCTTCACCGGCACACTGCTGCTGGACACGGCTGGTTCTGTCCTGGCCACAGCCACCAACTGGGACGAAATTGAAATCCAGGAGGAAACGGAGTCTGGGAGCAGCGTAACGTCCAAGATCCGGCTGCCCGTGCAGGTATGAGGAACAGGCTGGGGGGAGGAGAGCACTGGGTTCCACCCCACGTGCTGCCCTGCTGGGGAGCTGTTTGGTGTCATGAGCAGAGGACAAACACTCTCTGGTGCTCTTTGAGATACTCAGTTTGTAAGGACAGAGGTCACAGGAAGGAAATAGATCCTTGCTGCTGTTTATTCCAATGAAGAAGACTGGCCCAGATCCTGTAAAACTGAGCCAGAGAAGGACTTAGGTCTGGTTTAAACACAGAGGTCCCAGGAGAGAAATTTCATGGAAATTGCATGCCCCGAAGGACAGGGCTGCAGCAGTGGGATGGTGAAGTCCTAAGGGAACCAAGTGTGTGATTTTCCTTGGGTGTGGAGGTGGTGCAGGAAGGACCTGGTACAAAACAGGTGGCAGTCGGGAGGGGGAAGAGGGCCAGGCCAGGAGTGAGTTCTGTGTTTGCACAGCACAGGAGGGGCTGGGCAGGGCAATAGTCTTCTGTAGTGAACCTTATCCAGTGAATTTTATTGATTCTGAGGGAAAAAGCAGCAGGATGAGAGCTTGGATAGAGGAGAAGAGCGAGGGAGAAACAACCCCGAGGAGCAGGTGTTCAGAGCAGGGTCAGTGGTGACAGGACAGGCACAACAAGCAATTCTGTTCTCACCACACCCAAGTCCCACTTCTGGTGGGACTCTGAGGGCTGCTGGAACCCAAAATCCAGGGTGTCAGTAAATCAAACCCCAGGAGATGCCTGAGCTGTGGGGACAAAGCTTCATGGCTGCTGAGGAAGCAGGAAGCTCCCACCACCCAGCTGAAGGGATGTGGTGCTGCTAAAGCAAACAGAGCTCCCAGACCACGTGGAAGTAAACACTGTTCTCTTCCACAGCCCTCCTGGCACGTCCAGTGCCTCCTGTTCAGCCTGTGCCAGGAGGTGAACCGGGTGGGTGGCCACACTCTTCCCAAGGTGACCCTGCAGGAGCTGCTGAGGACCTGCATGGCAGAGGTGCTCGCTGCCTACCAAAAGCTCATGGAACAGAAGCAGGAGAAGGTTCGTGGGTGGGATCTGCAGGGGGGTGGGATGGCAGGGTGGTTGGGAATGCAGGGATGCACATGCTCCTGTCCCTTGGAACAGAAAGTGTCTGTCCATGAGAGCTGGAAAGGAGACACTCTTAAACACTCACCCAAAGCTGAGGCAGCAGGGGATTGGGCACATTTCATGCTCACAACGGCTCGGTTCGGTTGGTTGTGTCTTGGGGCTGGTATTTTTAATGTTCCCCTTGGAGAGCCCTCTCTGTGCCAGGGAAGAGCCCCATTGCTGCCTGTCCTGTTTCAGAAGGTGGACACCTTCCCCCTGACCCAGACCAGAGCTCTGCAGTTGCTCTATGACCTGCGGTACCTCAGCATCATCCTGACGGCCAAGGGTGAGGAGGGGAAGCCCAGCAGGATCAAGCAGGACTCTGGGTGAGGTGCAGTTCTGGGGTTCAGATCCTTCAGCAGAAGGTTGTGGGGCCCTACAACAGTCACAGGAGTCGAGCAGTGCAGGCTCCGAGCTCTGACACTGCACCCTGCTCTGACACTAAGCTCACCCTTAAAATAGGGGAGGGGTGGGACTCTGTGGCTCAGCTGCTGTTCTGCTGAGCAATTCCTGTTCTGCTCAGTCACCTCAGAGAGGTGCTTCAGAGGTGGCAGCAGCAGCTGTCAGCAGGATGTCACCCCTGACAGGACCCCTCTGCTCTGCTTGCAGGATCGAGAAGGTGATCGACTTCCTGGAGGGACACATCGATCCCTTCGACTTGGACGTTTTCACTCCACACCTGAACAGCAACTTGAACCGCCTGGTCCAGAGAACCTCCGTAAGGAAAAGGGCTGCAAAATGCCTTTAGAAGGGCAGCTGGGGTGGCTTTAAACTGCTTAATGCCTAAAGATAACCACTGGCACTTCCTTGGAAATGGGAAGAGTATTTAATGCCAGCTGAAGATAAGAGGAGCTGGCTGAGCTGGCTGTGCCGCGTCACCGTGCCTGGAGTTGGCTCAACTTTATCTAACAGGATTCACTGGAGCCTGTGCAACACTAAGTGGCTTAAGTAGTGCTGAAACAGGCCTGGAACTCAACTGTGGGAATAATTAAAAGCAAGAGTTAGAGGGGGAAGGGAGACACTTCATGTTCGAACTTAATGCCAGTGGACTCACCATGTTCTGTGTTATCAGCTCTGCAGGGCCCCCAAATTCAGATGGCTCCTCGTGCCTTTCAGGTTCTCTTCCCCAAATACAAACAGCTCCTTCCTGCCTTCCAGGTTCTCTTTGGCTTGCTGACGGGGACAGAGAACCAGTACACGAGCCGGAGTGGGGCACTGAGCTCCCAGGAGCTGCACAACATCCTGCCCTTGGCATCCAGCCAGATCAGGTGAGGCACTCGGCTCTCCCGGGCATCCTCCTGTCTCTGGGGAAGCAGGTCTGGAATTGCTGCTTCCCATATTTCTTCCTTCCATCTCAAGGTTTGGACTCCTGCCGCTGAGTATGTCGAGCTCACGGAAGAGCAAGTCCACTGCCAGGAGCACAGAGCGAGTCCAGGTTGGTACAACTGGGCCCTACAAATGGGAATATTTTGCCAGTATGACACTCGAGCTTGTGGGGAAAGAAGAAAGTAGCCAAACAGTTAATATTTCACCTGATTTTTATTTTCGGTAAAATGAGAGTCATTATGGCAACACAGCAGGAGATGGGTTGGATTTTCCCACGACCCTCAAAAAAAAACCCCCCTTTGCCCCTGTATTTTTGGGCCACTGCTCTGTGGCAAAACAGGCAATAAGCACCCTGAAACACAGTGAGGATTTACACAGCCCAGGCATCTCGAGGGCAATGCATCCAGGACAGTTCATTGAGGAGGGGCTGCAAGAAAGGCTGAAGGACAGTGGCTAATGACTGAACTCCTTTGCAGTGGGACGCTGCCCTCTAACCCCGAGGAGCCTGGCCTGGTACCTCAGCCTGTGTGAGGAGTGTGTGCTGCTCTCACAGAGGCTCCGCTCTGTCCTGTGGCTGAGCTGTAGCAGACAAGCCTTGTGTTGCTACATTTCCCCCAGTTTAAAACATCTGCTTAGATGGAGCTCTGTGTGCTGAGTGAGAGCCAAGGAATACTCACTGCAGTGGGAAGCAGGAATTTCCTTAAGTTATTACCAACCCAGTAATCCATCTGTGGTGACGTCTTGGCAAGTGGGCCAAGTTGGTGAGCCTTGACAAGAGTCAGGACAAGAGTTAAAGGTCTGGTTTTATCACATGAGATGATGTTCAATTCACTCTGCAGCTCTCCTTTCTCCCTTACTCAGAACCATTCAGGACCAGACACGACATAAGGGTTGTTTAAAAGCCCAAAGCTTCCCAATAAAGGTATTCCTTACCTCTCGTACCTCAGCTGGAGTGGAGCATAGAAGTGTGCAGTGACGTGTGGCTCGCTCCTGTCACTCCCCTCACCTGTATCCTGTGCCAGCCACCCTTCCCAGAATCCCTGACAGCTGCCTGATCCTTCTTCAATGCTAAATCACTCCTGGAGAGGTTAAAATCCGTAGTTCTCCACGACGAGCTCTCTGCAAGGGCAACAGCTGTGCTGCTACCATGCTGTTATCCTTTGCTCTGAGGGCAGCAGCCTCTTCCCTGCAGCTCAGAGTGTTGATGTGGGGTTTGTTGAGCACTGAGTGCCATCTGCCAAGTTCCCTGGCTGCTAACAACAGCCAGGTGCTGCTGTGCTGCTGTCCCTGTGTCTGTCTGTCTGTCACTAACCCCCAGCAGCAACACCGCGCCGGTCGTGGGTCAGGTTGCCTGGGAAGAGCTGTTCTTGCTGTGGGCTACACCTTGCAGCTCCTGTGGCTGAGGGTATGGAGCAAGTCACAGGTTTGCTGTAACAGTTATAGTGACTTCTGTGTTTAAAAACTGCCAGGTTGCAGCTCCTGTGCTCCCCAGAGAAGACGAGGCCTCCCGCCCGGGCTCCCTGTTCAGGCAGCTCGTCACCGAGGACGAGGACACGGCGGCGCCTTCGCTCTTCAAGCTGGGCTGGCTCTCGGGCATGACCAAGTGAGGCAGCAGCAAATAAAACGTTGGGCTGTGTGTCTGTCTCCTCTGAGATCCGTCTGTCCCCTGGGCAGGACCGGTGCCACCTCCAGGATTGTCAGTGCTTCCCATTCTCAGCCGGATCAGGGTGTGTCACTCGAACCGGGCTCAGCTCGGAACTGTCCTTGTCCCCTGGCTGCTGGAGCAGAGGGGGAGCTGCTCTTTCACCTCCTGTTCTTTACATTGTTAACCTTAAAGTCAAATTAAAGAAAAAAAAAATCCCCAAACAACCTACACACTAACAGAAAACAAAACATTTCACAGCTAGAAACGGGTGCTGGAGCAGGGCACGACTCCTCTGTCCTGCTCTGAGTGGCCCCAGCAGGACCTGCACAAGCTCTCCTGGGTCTAATTTCACATTTTCTTGTGAGGCTCATGTGAGACAGGACTCCTCACACTGAGCTGGGTGGGAGCTCACAGCTGCCCAGGCCTAAGGACCTGCAGTCACTGCTCCTATTCTTAACTGTTCTTACTAACTCTAAATGCTCAAAAAATTATGTTGCCAAATCATTTTTTAACTAGTTTATTGAAATTAAAAAAAGACTTATAAAACTGAAGAGGAACGCTTAAGAGAACTTTACAGAAAGCAACAACTTGCTAACAAACAGATTAGGCAGTCGATTGGAATTGGACAGTTTGCAATCCTATAACACACATGTGGACTCCTCAGTCTCCTCTTGCCACGCACTTTAGAACCACCCCAAAAAGAATCCTATAAAAATTGCTTCAAAGCCCCTTTTGCATTGCAATAGTGCAGCAAACCACAAGTAAACAATCTCCTGTTAACCTGTTATTTCAAATATAGACTGAAAAGGCAACAGGCAATTTTGTGCAATTCCATGTTAACAAACTTTGAAGTTGAAATATCAAATCTACACAGTGCTGTCCCTTCACAGAAGGCAGGGAGCTGCTGGGTCATCATGTAGGGAGGCGTCCCCGGCTCTGTAGGCTGTGGAAGTGGGCTTCCTTCAGGATCTGGTTGATGTGGAAGTAAGGACCTTGGCTTAGTGCAGACTGCTCGTGGAAGGGCTGGGAGGAGACGGGGCTGGATCCCGCAATGCTGGGGTTGAGGCTGGACTCTGCACCACACGCTCTGTCGGGGCTGTTGATGCTGCTGCTGCAGCTGCTGCTGCTGCTGCCGCTGTCGCTGCTGGAGGACTGGGACACACAGAGGGTGAACAGCAACATCAGACACTCCTCTCCTGCCCTCGCCCCTTTATGCCAACCCCCTCCCCTCCGGCTTGTCAGCCCCATGGACTGAAATAAATCCCCCTGGCATTGCCAGGTTGCTGTTGCCAACACAAGTGTCCCAGAGCTGAGGGGACAATCCTTCACCCGGGGTTCGCTGACCTCCAGGATGTTGGATTTCAGTCTTTCTGGTTTAAACCCATCAGCTCTGCCCCCGAACCCACGTTAGCACTAGTGAAGTTTGCTGGATTAATCCGAGAATTGGAAAATAAAGAACATTCCTAGGGAGCTGCACGTGTCAGTACAGGCAGGCAGGGCAGGGGGGAGCTGGAGTTTGGCACTGCTGTTGTAGCAGAGGCTTTACGGGAGCATCATGCAAAGCCTTTTCCTACAAGACAACCCTTCTCAAGTGAGATCTGGAGCATCCAAAGCAAGAAGCTGTTAAAAACAAATGCACCATGACACCCATTTTAAGTCTTTGAACACCTTGACAGAGATACAACTGCTCTTCTCCCAGCAGAGTGCTGGGATGGCAGTGTGAACTGGTAGTGTCCCATAACAATTCCATGACAATTCACTGGATGTGACAGTAAAAGAGCAAAAGCCACTGAAAAATTCCACAAGCAGCAGAGAGAACTCAGGATATGGCTCCCAGAGAGGCCAAGGCTCATTTGCCAGCATTCAGGGTAACCACGTTTCATGGGAATGGCTGGAAGAGCATCAGCCATCATTCTCAGGCGTTCAAAGACATCAAACTGTTCAGCTCACAGCATTTTAAGGGCTGCTAAGGAAAGGTTCCAGCAGCTGAAATATTTTATTACTGTGTGATGTGCTGGTCAGGACCTGCAAATATTTGGGTGAGTCAATTAGTGAGTGGCTACTCTGCCATCCCATAAGTAAATTCACACAAGCATCCAGAGCAAGTGAGAGCAGCAAAAAACTCCACGTTTTTGTAAGTATTGAGCCACAGAAGTCAAAGCTTTGTGCCACAGCAGAGGAGGACGAATTTCAAGAAGTCCCCAGTGATTTATTTTGCAGTCAGCACCACATCCAGAAGGAGGCAATCTGAGGAATGGTGCAAACTGCACCTGACGTGTGTCCAAGGCCCAGGAAGGCACTGTGGATGTTTGGGGTGGACCACAACCCCTGGCACTGACCCACCATGACCATCCAGCCCTACCAGAGCCCCCTGTTTTGCTAAGCACCAAAAACGCTTCAGCTCTGATGGAGCACAGCAAGCCAAGCCAGGGGCCCTGAGAAACACCCAGGGGGAGTCATTCCTGAGGAAGCACAGATGGAACTACAGGAGCAACCAGCTCCTCCTCCTAAAGCTGCTAAGTCTAGAGAGGGAGAGAGCCCTGGCAGGACAGCAGGAGCCAGGAAAGGCACTGGCCACCCTCTTGCCCAGCAGCACAGAGGGACACGCGATGCTGTTACGCCGAGTGAGCCACAGCAGCCTTGGAGAGAAACCCACCGCACAGGACACTTTGTTTCCTTTTAGTCTGCGCTCCTTACTGAGCTTCGTTACAGCCACCTTCTGCAAATCAAGGTAAAAAGCCAAATGAGAACCTGGCGTCACCCACTGCTCCCCTTTCACACCCCGACAAACGATTTCCAGCGGTTACTTTGTGCATATCCGGCTTTGTCAAAGCTGGCACAGTGTCCTGGGACGTGCTTCTTGCACCTAAGGCTGTTGACAGGTGTCAGGGCTTGTCAGACCCTCTTTATTTCCAGTTCTCTAATGCAAAAATTCACTAGCACCAGCACCCCTTCATCACTGCCCCAATCCCATCGAGGACCTACCATTTCCCCAGGCTGTGGTGCACTTTCTGTTACGCATTTGGACTACAATTAGACAAGAAAAGAATCCTTGAATCATCATGTCAGCAACGACAGGCATCTACACAGTGCAACAAAGCTTTAAAAGGGCAGAGGGGAGCAGCCCAGTGAAATTTGGGACTACTTTAACTACCAAAAGGGCATCTTCAAGGTTTACTGGACTCATTAACCCTTAACATCGCTCAGAGTAGCTACCCAAGTTTCATTTCCCAACAGATGTGCTGTTAAATGTATCAATGTGCAGATCTGTGACAGCATCTCGGTCCCTCCTGACAGGAACTGCAGGAACAGCCACTCAGCCCCTGCTGCTCTCAGACTCCCCCAAGATGAGTTTAACAGAGACATGGTCTGGTTTTCACTTAGGATTTTAGACCAGCCCTTCCCTCAGCAGAGGGGGACACGATTTGATTTGAGCAGGGACTGCTGCCATGGGCTGATAACCCAGCCGTGTTTCCAAGAGCTGGGGAATCCTCACATCGGCCAGGACAAAGAGGAACCACGAGAAATTCAGGTTTACAGAAGTTATTCAGGAAGGAAGGAGTTAGCCAGAACACCCTGACCCGCTTCCTTCCCAGGGAAAATCAGGGCAAAGGGTTTTTCACTGGTGATTCCTCAGGTTCTTCAACTCCTCCTGACTCACTGTGGGGGCCAGCAATGAATTTCTAACCAGAGAGAGGGAAAACAGCCCAGCTGATCTCCTGGACAAGGGAGGACAGGCTGAACAGGAAGGGAGATTGCGTGGCAAAGGCTCTGCCTTGCTAATGTTTAACGTTGGCCGTGGTTCCAGTGCGGTGTTTGCCCTGTGCCAGTCCCTGCACTGAACTCCAGAGGCTTCCTGTCCCCCCAGGGAGCCTGTCACCTGGGAGTGGCTTCTGCAGGAGAGGCAGGAATGGCACATCCTTACACAGCAATTTGCCAAGAAGCAGCACTGATAGAGACTGAAGAGAATCCCAGTTTCCCTCCTGTAAAGGTCAGTCAGGGGTGCTGCCTGTCCTGGGTGAAAGGACAATCCAGTGGGAGAAAACAGCAAATCCTTTGGAATCAGCTCTAGCTCAGGTGAGCAGCGGGATTCAAAGTGAGGGGCTGAGGGATGACATCACAATCAGCCCATGCTGGAACTGCCACTAAGGAAAAAACTTCCCTTCATCTCACTCTTCAGACCAACACGTGTAGGACAAAAAAAATGGGAAGAGATCCTGCCAAAAGCCAAGTCCTGTTTAAAAACACAGCTGCCTGATTGTCACACTGGGGTGATGTTCCCAACTAACCTCACTCTGCAAGAGGAAACATTCCCTTAAGAGTTGGACTCAATCATCCTTGTGGGTCCCTTCCAACTCAGAATATCCTGTGATTCCATAACTTCCAAATAAAAAAGGCCACAGGAATCAGGACTTGAGGTGATGTTTCACAAAAAGCAGGGGTGTGACACCCTGCAGAAAGCGACTCTCAGTGTGCTCTCAGAAGTCACAAGTTTCTCCCCCACACACTTTCCAGTTCAATATCCTAGAGCCAGAGAGAATTTTTAATCATCAAAAGGTGTCTTTGCAAACAGCAAAGTACCAGGAAACTAAATAAGAGTGCTACAACTGGCTGAGACTTTCCAAGCGACACCAATCGGAAGCACTTGTGCACAATGAGCACGAGGATTTCTCCCTTTGGCACAGGAAGTCCTTCACAAACATTCAAATAATACTGATTTAATCTCGTGGCTTGAATTTCTGGGCATGCTCAGTTCTGTGATCCAGCAAGAAAACAAGGGGGGGAAAAAAAAAAAAAAGAGAAAAAGCTCTATTCATCAGGAGACAACATTGTGAGTTCTGTCCCCTGGGGAGAGGGGCCGGTGCTGTTTGGAAAGCTGTGTGTGTCCAGTGGGCACATTCCTCAGCAGTGAGAGCTTCCCCTGCCTCACACCAGGCTTTAATGTGTTAAACCCAGGCTTTTTCAAGGCAAGAGCATGCAAGAAGCACAGCCTCTGTTAGCCTGAGCAGTGACCTTGCCCAGGGTCAGCCATGCCCGTGCTGTTCCCTTCCAGCACCCAAACACCCAGCACAGGGTTAAGGTCACCCCTCCCCTGTGGCCACAAAACCACTGCCAGTCCTGCTTTCCGTGGCTCTGCCCAAACACCAGGTGTTTACACGACAAGCAAAGGTGCTTCTGCCACTCACCATCCAGGTTTTTCCTGATATCCTTAATTTCATTACTCCCACTTCAATCCCTCGTTCCACACTAAATTCTTCCTCCTCCCGCCACAAAGCTGCTTTAGCCTTTAACTACTCTACACACACGGAGGGGTTTGACCTGTTGGACAAGTGATTCGGTGTCAGATGGCAACAAACTAGCGATGGTTCTCCCCTCACACCCAAAAATGCAAAGTCTCACTCCTGGAAAAACAGCAACACACGAACCAGGACAGTTTCAACCCCAGAAAATTCCCTCGTGAGGAACATCACCTCTTAAACCACTTCCCAGCAGTGTCACTACCACACCAGCTACTTGTAAGGTGACCAGGTTAAAAGAGCCTCCCTCGCAACAGGAATGTATAAATACACATTTGAAACCGTTTCCATATTATAAAAGAGCTCAAAGTTACACAGCACTAAATATTTTCTGCAAAGAACAGTTAATAGTTCAACAGAACTGCAATGATTCAGTTAATTCAGTAATAATTCAGACTGTAATTACTCATCACAGTCCCCCTTCAAAGTGGGAAGGCTTTACAAAAACAAGGGTATTTCAAGAACCTTAAAAGAAATTAATTTCATTAACTTCCAGGGGCACAGACCAGGAGGGAGCCTCTGCTCTGCACCCTCTTTTCCATGAGTGTTTTGCAACAGAAGGACATTGCTTAGCAAAAATGCTCACAGTGAATTTTCAGGTGATTCATACGGGTAACAACTCAGGAAACCTGGCAGCAGTTGGGAAATCAGCATTTTTTAAAAGCAAACAAACCTCACAGCTCACAACTTGCACTAAGAGAACACCTGTCTGGCGAGGGGTAAGAAAACATGAGACAGTTTATCCCATGTCCACCAAAAAAAACCCCATGGAAAATATGAGTAAAAACCAAATTGTTTGAGTACAAACATCTTGGCTGTGAACAAGCAAGTTTTGCTTAAACTGACCAGTTCCAGCAGAGTGTTTTTTAAACACCAGATAAGCACTGGTTGGATTTATTCCTTATACTTTCTACCACAAATAATCACCTAAATATAAGTAAATGCAAAGTTGGAGAGTAGGTGGGGCAAAGTGACCACACACACCCTTGTGATCCACCCTCATCATCAGCTCAGCTCTGGACACAACTCATCTCACACAGCAAAACTGGACGTGGCAGCAAATTATTTCCTCGTGTCTTCACTTGCATTTGAATATTTGAATATTTGAAATATTCAGGCCAGGGATAACCAGGTTCACTGGAAACATGCTGATTTCCCAACCACCTTTTACAGATTCCAATCCCCGATGTCACAAAGTCAAACCTCCCGACCTCACACACAAAGCTGAGAAAAAAGAAGTGTTTTCATAACTGCTCTCCATGAAAATATTCACAGGATATTCAGCAAGAAAGGAAACTGCATTTGCCTGGGAAGGCTCTCACCTCAGTGTCCCACGAGTCCTGCAGGACAGAATTCCTGGTGCTACGTTTTGTCTGGGGAACGTGACCATCCTCTTCATTGCCATTCCTTCTCCTCTTCCTGAAGGAAAATTCAGGGAGAATGGGAGAAAACAAATTATCAGCCTACTCATATACCTTCTGGTTTGTTCTCTGAAGGCACCTCTACCAAAAAAAAAGGAAAGTTTGGTAAATTCCTGGAGGATGTATCCAAGCTCCTGAGGTGCTGTGGACTCCCACATTGTCCTTTTAGCTGCTGTTGGAGGGGAGAGACAAAAGGATCCTGTTTCTCACAAGAAATCAGCTTAAGGGACATGGACTCACATTAAAACCATCTTTCTAAATAAACTCATTGAACAATTCTCAGCCTTGCACATCTAAAAATAATCCTGGGCCCTGGAGTGACACCTGGGAACAGGATGAGTGGCAGTGACCACACTTCAATAAACACCCAATTAATTCACCCTGCTCACATGAGCCTGCACTCAGCATCCATGATTTTTTGAGTCTCTCCACCCTGGCAGCTTTTGAAACCAAGTCATGTTCCTGAGCAACATTATTTTCCGTGTAAAAATTAAGTTTTGTCAGGAAACACCCCGCAGAAAACAAACCCTTCCCTGTTTCTGGTGTATCTGCCACCCTCCCATGGCAGCCTGTACTGTCTGGCCTGATAAGTAAGAGTTTTAACACACCAACAACCTAATTTTTATCCAGATCTTTGCAGGCATCAATGCAAAGGGGGGTTTGAAGGAGGGTAATGGGATGGGGGTGGTGCTGATATTCCCATATTAGAGACAATACAGGGAAGACCTCAAAGGTCAGGTTGGACGGGGCTTGGAGCAACCTGGGCTGGTGGAAGGTGTCCCTGCCCATGGCAGGGGGTGGGACTGGATGGCCTTTAAGGTCCCTCCCAACCCAGACCATTCCATGGCTCTGTGACATCAACCCAGCAGCTGATCCACAGCATCATCCCAGAATTCCCGTCCCCTGAGCCCACAGAATTTCAGTGCTGACATCAAAGGCTTCTTCCCACTGTACAAACATGACAAGTCACCCAGGATCTCAGCACCATCCAAAGCACAGGATGGATGGAGCTCTGCTGGTGCCTAAAATTAATCCATGCTCGAATGAGTCAAAACAGGCTCGGGGGAGGTATTTTTAGCCGGATCTTTTCTCACAGACAGCACACTCAGCTGCGGGATCTGGCCCACGCCCACAGCCCAGAGCTCCCCCACCCCCGGGGCCACAGACACCAAACCCTGTCCAGCGGCTCCCCCCTCTCCCGGCACCACTTTCCGTGGAAGGGACACGTCTGTGTTGCCTCTGGATCCCTCCTTCCCTCAACCCCTCCAGGCCAGGTTGGACGGGGCTTGGAGCAACCTGGTCCATGGAAGGTGTCCCTGCCCATGGCAGGGGGTGGCACTGGATGGGCTTCAAGGTCCTTTCAACCCAAACCATTCCATGACCCCACGGCCCCACAACCCTGGGCACAGCCCAGCTCCCACAGGCCCCGTGGTCCCTCTGCTTTCTCCCTCACCATCT